AATACTTGAAGGGAAATTAGTAGCATTAAAAGCTTACATAGTAAAAAGGTTTGGGTTGGCTCCACAGTCTAGTGGTTGACAGATCCCATATAGCCAACCACAGTTCGAATCCTGGCACTGGCAACTTGAAAAACACCATGGGCACATGTGTGTGCGTGATCACAGTCCTGGTGGAGAAATTGAGAAGGGATTGCAGCACAGCCATGTACCCCCCCCCCCCCCCGCTATGGAGTTCTTTCTTCTTCTCACTCTGTCTGTCTGTCATGCTCTGGCAAGCACATGCTCTCTCTGGCAATTAAGAAAAGAAGAAAGGTTTGAGAGAAGTACAAATTACCAGTGTCAGGACTGAAAGAGTAGACATCACAACTCGCGTTAAAAAGATAATACGGGAGCCAGCAGGTGGTGTGCTGGTTAAAATGTTGGACTCCTACATGACTGACCTTGGTTCAAGTCCCAGACCTGGAGGTTTGCTTTCTCACTGCCCCACCTCCTATCAAATTAAAAAATAATAATAACAACAATAATAAATAAATAAAATTGAACAGATAATTTTTTTTAATTAAAAAATAAAAGACTATAGGAAAACAAAGAACATCATGCCCAGACATTGGACAATTTAGATAAAACACAAATCTTTTGAAAAATACAAACTACCAACACTCAAGAAGAAATAGATAACCTGAAATAATACAATAGCAGTTAAAGAAATTGAATTTATAGTTTAAAATCTTTGTACAGAACAAACTCTGGACCCAGATGGCTTCATTGGTAAATTCTACCAAACCTCTAAGAAAGAAATAATTTTATACCAATTTCTAAAAATTAGAGAAGAGGGACCATTAACCAACTCATTTTATAAGACTTGTTAGTACCAAAAGATATTGCAAGAAAACTGTAGATCTTTTCCCCTCCTGAACTTTGAAGGACTAACGAAGAAAATACCAGCAAGTCTAATTCAGCAATATATTAAAAGGATGATAATAATGCGCTGGTAAACTAACTCCCAAGGAGGAAACGAGATGGAGCCTTGATTTGTACTATTCCCTGATTTCTGTGATGTGACAACGCCCTCTCTGGCTAATGCAAGCTACCGAAGTGAAGTCACTGGATATGGAGTGGGAAAGAGATGTGTCGGATCAGCTCCTGGAGCCACACGGTCTAGTCATACCTTTATCCTGAGAATGCAAGACTGGTTCAACATTGAAAGTCAGTGAATGTAATTCACCGTTATAACAGACTAAAGAGAAAGACAGAACAGAGAACAAAAACAAACCAACTGTGAGCCAAAGAATGTGTTTAGCTTTACACTTAAGGAAATGTAATCACTGGGGCCATCAGGTGGTGTGGTAGTTAAGACGCTGGACTCCCACATGGCCAACTGTAGTTCGAGTCTTGGACCTGGCAGCTTGCTTTCTCGCTTTCTCTCTCTCTGGTTAGCACATGTGCCCTGCAGCAAAGTAAAAGAATAATAATTATAAATAAAATAAAAAGAAATCATTCTTAAAAGAAAAAAGAAATTCCAACCACCAAACTGATACTCTTGACAATATAGCTCCCTTTGGGTCCCACTGTGAACTATATTGTTTTCTTTTCCATTTAGTTTTAGTTTATTTTTATTTTCTATCTATTTATTTTTAATGTGACCAGAGAAGGATAAAGTGAGTGAGAGAGAGAGGGAAAGTGAAAAAGCAAGCCACCATGTCCAGGACTTGAACCGTGGTCGGCCATGTGGGAGTCCAGCACCCTTAACCACCCCGCCACCTGCTGGCCCCCATAGTTTTAGTTTACTTTTTGAGGGGAAGGAGGGCAGGGAGGTACCCTCAGGTACCTCATCATGGGTACTCATCATGCTACAATCCCTGTATCCCAGCTCTTCAGTTCTTCAGGGTCCTGAGCACACACATGCCATGCATGTCTCAGGTCGACTTGGAATCCAGGCCCACAGCTGGCCTTGTGGCTTCCAGCACTGCAGATCAGTCACCACTGCCTTTGCCACTGGGGCTGAGTCCAGTGCTGTTTTTCCATTTGTTTGTTTTGTTTTGCCAGAGGGTGTGTGCATTTGCCAGAGATAGAGAGAGGAAGAGAGAGAGTGCCCCACATTGGGTTATGATCATGATGAATCCCTTTTTCCTCCATTTATCCTGTCACGATTTGGGGTGTGCTTGCACATGTGCCTGGCCTGTTTTTCAAGCTACTGAGGCTGGGATTTGAACTGCAGTCGGCCATGTGGGATCTGGTTCCCTACCCACGGGACTTACTCACTGTCGTACAGAGCTGGCTCTCATTGCTGTTTCTTTATAAACACCTACATAGCACCCTCTTCCATGCCACTGCTTGCCCACTTAGTGTTTTTGAATAGCTGCCCCTCCTGGCTATGATTTATTAGGAGGAAGAGAGATCCTCCCAGCTCATAGAAAACAATCTACCGAAGTAGATAACTTTTTCTGTAATTGGCTTATAAACTTCACACCTTCTGCCCCATGGCAGAGAGGTATGTTTGTCCACTTTTACTCCCCTCCACACTCAAAGTACTCTTTGTGACAACTTTTCTCTTTTGTGGTTACTCTAGTGGAATCATAGGATGGTGGAATGGAGACTGAATTCTTCAAGATTTGGGGTGCACTCTTGGGGCAAGAATCCTGTCCTTTTAAAAAGTCCTAGTATCAACCGCTGATGCATTACTTGACATACAGATTTATTTGGATCAATGAATAAAGGGGAATTCTGAGACGTTCCCATTCTCAGAGGCTGTCAGTTCAAGGCGTTAAGGCGAGATGCAAATAAGTGATATTCCTTGAAAGGAATGACGATCCCAGCTTCAATGCGGCGCTCTTTAGTGCCTCTCTGCTCATTGCAAAGACATAAAATGAAGCGAGAAGAAAGATGTCATTAAAATTTCCCAGAGAACTTTTTTTTTGGAGAGGTTTTTTTTTCTTTTTGCTATAGAGCGCATGCGCTCTCCAGACAGGGAGACAGAAAGTGAGAAATCATTCCCCAGGGAGGATGGCCATGCCGCAATCCCTTCTCCTCCGTACTCCTCTTGGGATCTTGGGCACGCACGCACACGTGCCCGGCATGAGTTTTAAGCCACCAGGTCCAGGACGCGAACGACGGTCGACTACATGGGAGTCCAGTGACAGCCATTACGATAACTGCTGGTCCCCTCCAGAGAACTTTTAAAGAAATCCGGGATACCTATCTCATCTGAGAAAGTCATGTGGGGCAGGCAGAGTGTTAACTGATGGATACAGCAATCTGATCAGCTTTAGCACAGGTCAGTGGCGTATTAGGCATCTGTGTTTTATCTGTACATTTCTTTTTTTTTTTTTTTTGGAGAGGTTTTTGCTACAGGGCGCGTGCGCTTGCCAGACAGACAGAGAGAGACAGAGAGACAGAAAGCGAGAAATCACCCCCCAGGGGGGATGGCCACGCCGCAATCCCTTCTCCTCCATTCCCCTCTCGGGATCTTGGGCACGCACGCACACGCGCCCGGCGTGAGTTTAAGCCACCGGGTCCGGGAATCGAACCGCGGTCGACTACGTGGGAGTCCAGCGACATAGCCATTACGCTAACTGCTGACCCCTTATCTGTACATTTCTATGTGTTTGCTCTTTTAGAAAATCAATGTGTAAGTGCAGTTATGCTGATTTTGGGACAGGGAACCTCGAGCACAATTTTCCACAGTTACTATATTTTTTAAGATTTTGACGTATTGATTATATCTGTGATCTATTTAATGCTCAATTCTCAATCATCTGCTTTACTGTGTGAGTTCAAGAAGATACATGTTGTAGGGAGATACAAATGATAGGGCGCCATCTCCATGGCCTGATGGCTAAAGTAGCTGGAGCCCACGTGGCTGAATGCACAGTTTGAATGCTGGACCAGCAACTTGAGAAGCATACCAGATGTGTGTGCATGTGTGCCCGAAATTCTGAATGGAGGGAGCATTGGAGGGGAAGGGGTTGCAGTGTAACTATTCCCCACGGAAGGTGTTTTTTCCCTTCCCCTCTTTCTCTGTCTTTCTCTGGTGAGTACCTGTGCCTTCTAGCAATAAAATAAATAAAGTTAAAAAAATATGTAATGGTAGGTATTCTGAGTCCTAGAATGGTAGGTAGCATAGAGTATGAAATTTCAAAACTTGTCTGCAGGCGAGTAGGGCATGCGTGTTTGGCAGAAGGTAAGACTGGGCCAGTTTCATGGTACAGCAGTAATATACTACTCAAAAGAAACGGGATTCCACTTAGAAACTGTGGTTCAAATCTCTGGCCTGGTCAGCCTAAAATATGCCATGCTTACATAAGTGTCTAGGATTTGATGGGCTAGAGGATAAGAGGAAGGGGATCATGATGTGCCCAGACCCTGTGGAAAGTTTTCCTCTCTGCTGTGTGCACACGCATTCTATCATAAAAAAGAGTACTTGGTGGGGAACATCAGGTGGCAGGGTGGTTGAGGAGCTGAACACTCCAACATGGCCAACCATAGTTTTAAGTCCCAAACCTGGTGACTTGCTTTCTGATTTTCCCTCTCTCTCTTTCTCTGTGTCTCTCTCTAGTCAAATTAAAATAAATAAATCAGATTAAATAAATAATTCTTAAAAAAGAGTAATTGGGGGAAGAAGGCCAGAGTTGGGGGGATTATTCACCTCCAAAGAGGTCAGGCAGAAAGACTTGCTCAGTTGTATGAACAAAACTTTTTAGCTTTTTTGTTTGTTTGTAAACTGTAAAAAGAGGAAGAACCCTTTTATTTAGGGTAATAGACATAGCCATTCCCCCCAGATCCAGACTTCTGGTTATCAAACACGTACCAAGTTACTCCTTAACACCACTTATCCTTCCAGGTAGGCCTTTGTCCCTGGAGTCTCTGATCATCAGTGAGCTGACACCTGCATCATAGTCAGGCTGGGCTTAGTGTTCTTAATGCCACATTGCTCATTGTTTTCACACTGAGTCAGATTTGGGTTTGTTCTGATTTTACTAATAGAAGCTTTTCTTCTTCAGGGATGGATGAATGAGATTTACAGCTATGATCCAGAGACGTACCATGCAACTTTGACACATTCAGTCTTTGTTCGACTTGAGGGTGGAACCTTAAGACTTTCAAAGCCCAATAAAAATATATCCAGGAGGGCGAGCTACAATGAAGCAAAGCCAGAGGTCACCTACATCAGCCAGAAGATCTATGACCTCTCGGACAGCAAGGTGAGCCTGAGCAGTTTGAGGAGAACCCGGTTGAATTTGGAATCTTGGTTGCTGTACTGCATTCTTTTGTTTTTGTAACTTGAGTGTCATTATACTTTACGGACAGTACAAACCTCATGCAGATCACCTAGGCATCTTTTTAAATGTAGATTCTGATTCAGAATTTGGGCGGAGCATGAGAGCCAGCCTTTTTATGAGTTCCCAGGTAATATTCAAGCTGCTGGTCCTGGTCCACACCTCAAAGAGCAAGGCATTGTGCTCTCAGGATTCTGACTTTGAAAGTTAATTATTTCAGTCAAACAAAAAGCTGTGTGTGATGGTGCTAGGATACTAACTAACGTAGGCTCTGTAAATGTGGAAATTATGGATATGCAAAATAACTACCTCTTGATAAAGTGTTATATATAGTCAGCCCTCCATATCTACAGGCTCCACATTCATGAATTTGACTAACCTCTAATCAAAAACATTAAAAATAATAGCACTAAGAGGCTGGCAGGTGGTGTGGGTGGTTAAGGGCCCTGGACTTTCATATGACTGACCGTGATTCAAGTCCTGGACCTGGCGGCCTGATTTCTCACTGCTCCCATTATCTCTCTCTCTCTCTCTCTCTCTCTCTCTGTTTCTCGCTCTGTCCATCTCTGGTCAAATTAAAATTAATTAATTAAATAAATAAGATAATAAAATAATTCTTAAAAAAATAATAGCACTAAAAAAAAATACAGGGTCAGCCCCATAGCATAGTTGGTTATGGGAGCTGGATCCCATACAGTCAACTGTGATTCAGTCCTTGGCCCCAATGGCTTGAAAAACCAGGCACATGTGCATGCGTGTCCAAAATCCCAGCAGGATAGAGAAATGGAGGAAACAGGAAAGGCATGACCACACTTCATTGGGGTGGGGGGGCTTGGTCTCTTGCTCGCTCTGTTTCACCATATCTTTCTGGAGAGTACACACACCCTCTGACAGATGGAAAAATAATAATACAAAGTTTAAAACAATACATGTAACAACTGTTTATATAGCATTTACATTATATTCAGTATTGTAGGTAAACTAGAGATTTGAAGGGCACAGGAGGATGTGCATAGTTTCTACGTAGATACAAGGGACTTGGGCATCTTTAGATTTTGGTATCTGGGAGGTCCTGGAACTAATTCCCTTCAGATACCAAAGAACAACTATATTTCTATTTTTATGAAAAATGTAAATTGTTACTCTACAAAGCTGTAAGTTCCCTATATTTATAATTCATCTCAATGAACTTTAAGCTTCATCAAAATGGTGGAGATAATTAAAAGCATTTTTGTGTAAGTTTATTCTTTTTTTGGGGGGGGAGAAATTTTTGTTATAGGATGCATGTATCGCCGGAGAGAGAGAGACAGAGAGAAAGTGAGAAATCACCCCTGGGGGAAAGGCCACACTGCATTCCTTTTTGCTCCATTCTCTTCTCTGGGTCTTGGGCATGCACGCACCCCCGCCTGGTATGAGTTTTAAGCTGCTGGGTTCAGAACTCGAACTGCAGTTAACTGCATGGGAGTTCAGCTATGTAACTATTACACCATCTACTGGTCCCTAAGTTTAGTGTTAATGTTGATGCCAAAGGTCAACGTGAACTTCTCGACTAGTTAGATAAATTCTTTTTTATCTCCCCAGCTTTAGTTTGGCTCAGGGTTAATAAACTCAGTTGATAACCAAACTTAGTTGATTGTCAACTGAATATTATTATTGTGCTATTACTACCTGAAAACTATAGATATTTGTAACTATTACAAAATTCTTTTTAAAGAAATATTTAAGTTAATTTTGTTTATTTGTTTATTTTAATTTGACTAGAGAGGGACAGAGCGAGAGAGAGAGAGAAAGAAAATGAGAAAGCAAGCCACCAGGTCCAGGACTCAAACCATGTAGAAGTCCGGCACCCTTGACCACAATGCCACCTGCCAGTATTACAAATTTTTTTTTTTTTGAGAGATTTTTGCTACAGGGGGCGTGTGCACTCAACAGAAAGACAGAGAGAGACAGAGAGACAGAAAGTGAGAAATCACCCCCCGAGGGAGGATGGCCACACCACAATCTCTTCTCTTCTGTTCTCTTCTCGGGATCTTGGGCATGCATACACATGTGCCTGGTGTGAGTTTAAGCCACCGGGTCCGGGACTCGAACCACCGTCGACTACATGGAAGTCCAGTGACGTAGCCATTACACCATCTGCTGGTCCCACAGAATTCCTAAACATCTACTTTCTGGAATGATTTTGAAGAAGAACAAGCCCTTTCTAAAACTATTCTGGTTTCTATAATCACGTTTTAAACAGGCAGTCAAAATTATTTTCCATTCATCATTTTAGTAAAAAATTCTCTATAAAGTTTGCATTTGTGCTTTACATAATATTAATGCATAATGTGGCTAATCTTTAACTCAATATATAAATCATCATTTCTCTTTCTCTGTAGATTTATCTTGTACCTAAGAGTTTGGCTCGGAAACGAATCTGGAATAAAAAGTACCCCATCTGTATTGAGCTTGGTCGACAAGATGACTTTATGGCTAAGGCTCAGACTGATAAGGAGACTTCTGAAGATAAGCCACCAGCTGAGAGAGAGCTGGGAAGTGAGGACCCTAAGAAGCCACCTCATTCTCAAGAGGGAACACGATCTGGCCCAAGAGATCAGATACTATATCTCTTTGGGAGAACTGGCCGAGAAAAAGAGGAGTGGTTTAGGAGATTTATTCTGGCATCTAAGCTGAAGTCAGAAATCAAGAAGCCACCTGGCATCTCTGGAAGTAAACCAGGTAATGACATTTGTGCTAAATGCTCATGCATTTTTAAAGGGCCTGGAGGGAGAATTGAGAAAGACAGCCAGGTAGGAAGGAAGCTCACTGAAGTGTCTGTCAGTTTGCCTCCGGAAGTGTATTCTCATGACTCATTTGCTTTTTTTTTTTTTTAAGAATTATTTTAGTTTAACTTTATTTATTATTATTGTTACTTTCCAGTTTGATCAGACAGAAAGAGAGAGAGGGAAAGTGAGAAAGCAAGCCACCAGATTCAGGACTTGAACCACAGTCGGCCATGTGGGAGTCCAGCGCCTTTAACCACCACGCCACCTGCCGGCCCCATGACTCATTTGCTTTTTAGGGTGATCACTACAACCCTTTGTACCAAATCATTTAATCAATGATAGAGCCACTTGCAGATGCATATTTAGTTTTTGCCGATTCCCTAGGATTATATTTTGTTCTTACTTATTGTGACTCTGAGAGAAGCAGCAACAGGAGAACTCCAGTTATAAGAAGTCAGGTAAGCCAGGAAACTTCTGACCTTTGCCATGTCCTCCAAGCCTGAGATTGCCGTGGAAACGCAGACTCCTTGAGCCTACTGACCATTCAGGTCGGATCCCGGCCATTTGGGTTCATAACCACGCAGCATCTCTTTGTTCAGCTCTGGCTGTGCATGGTGTTGCAAGGGACACAGACTCAGCACAGAACAGCAGCACCCCTATCCTTCAGGGGCTGTGCTTGCTAGATGAAGCCAGCCCATGTAAGACAGATGTTCACAACTTACCGCTACCATTCTGTCAGCTCCAGCAGCAGCTCCCATCCCAGTCCCAGAGCTGAGATCCAGTAAGTCCCTTGGAAACACCTAAAGCACTAACAGTCAAAGTGAATAAGGAGATCGTTGGGAATATTCATTTCCTAGGGCTGCTGGGAGAAAGTAGCACAAGTTTAAAACAATAGAAATTAGTATGTAATTAAATGTAATATAAAAAAAAAAAACCTTAAGAAAAAAAAAAAAAAAACAGAAAGTGGGACTAGCAAGTGGCATGGAAATTAAGGCACTGGATCCCACATGGCCAACCATGCACTTTGAGTCCTGGACCCGGTGGCTTGAAAAATCACTGTCAGTGTATGTGTGTGTTTCCAGAATTCCAAGAGGAGAATGGAGGAAAAGAGATTGCAGCACGGCCATCCCCCCCCCAACCTCCATTTCTCACTTTCCCTCTCTCTGGTGAGCACATGTGCCCTATAGCAAAATGTTAGGGGGGAAAATTATTCTCTCATAGTACTAAAGGTCTAAAAATCAAGGTTTTGGCAGGGCCACACTTTCTTTGAGGCTGCAGAGAATCCTCCCCAGCCTCTTTTCAGCTTTTGGTGGTGGCCCACGATCCTTGGCTTGTAGCTGCATCACTCCAGACTGTGTGTCTGTCATCACATGTGTCATCTCTGTGTCTCTTTTCCTCTCCTTATGAGGGTACTGGTCCTGTTGGATTAAGGTCCTACCCTACTTCTGTTATGACCTCATGTTAACGGATTATAACTGTTGCAACCCTATTTACAGATAAGGCTATATCTGAGGACCTGGGGGTTAGGAGAACAATGCAACCCATAAGAGAGTGAAAGAAAAGCCAGGGAACTTCTCAGCACCCTGGTAGGTCTAAATCTCTGCCATCCTGTAACCACCAGCCCATGTGGCTTTTCAGCAATTGCAAGTGGCCTGTCCAGATTGAGATGTGCTCTAAGCATAAGATGAACACTGAGGTTCAAAGTCATAGTTTATTGGTCCAGCAGGTGGTATAGTGGTTAAGGGCACTGGACTCCCGCGTGGCTGACCTTGGTTTGAATCCTGGACCTGGCAGCTTGCTTTCTCACTTTCCCTCTCTCACTCTCGCTCTCTCTTGCTCTTGCTCTGTCCCTCTCAAATTAAAAAAGTAAGTAAGTAAATAAATGAACTAATTAATTAAATACAATAATTCTTTTAAAAAATATAGCCCCCCAAAATGTAAAATGTCTTATTTTTATATTAATTATAGGTTGAAATAATAAAAGTTTAGATATGTTGGGTTAAGTAAAATATATTCAAATTAATTTCATTTGTTTCTTTTTACCTTTTATGTGTAGTTGCTAGAAAATTAAAACTTGTGTATGTGACTCATGTTCATGGCTTGCATTGTATTTCTACTGGAAATATAATGACCTGCTGGTCTAGGCTCTGAAGTTTTGAATCTAGTGATTTTGGGTGTTTGTAGGACTATGCCTTTGGTGTTCAGGGACCACCCAAAGCAGCTTCAAAAGTGGCCTATTGTTGTAGACTTAACCAAAGCATTTGGTTATTTAAAAAATTTACTTATTTAACTTGATTTATTATTATAATTATATTTAAATTTTCTATAGGACTTGAGCTCACCAGAGAGAGACCGAGAGAAAGTGAGAAAGCAAGCCACCTGGTCTAGGACTTGAACTGTGGTTGGCCATCTGGGAGTCCAGTGCCTTAACCACAATGCCACCTGCTGGCCCAGCATTTGGTTATTTTATTTTATTTTTTTTAGAAAGAGAATTTTGCTGTAGGGTGAGTGTGCTCAACAGGAAGACAGAGAGAAAGCGAGAAATCACCCCCTGGGGTGCGGTGATGGCCATGCCACAGTCCCTTCTCCTCCATTCTCCTCTTGGGATTTTGGACATGCACGCACACATGCCCAGGGTGAGATTAAAACTGCCACTTCCGGGACTCAAATCGTGGTCGATTCTCTGGGAGTCCAGCGATGTAACCGTTACACCTTCTGCTGGTCCCACATTTGGTTATTTTTAATGGAGTTGCGACTTTGGAAATCCTGCCAACCATTCCTAGACCTCTGCTGACCATGTAATGGATGCAATGGTCAGAGCAGAGACAGAAAGCCTTCAGGGCACTCACCCGGGCTGATGTCCAAGCTGGCTGCATCCTCAGACCACTAATATCTTTTTATATGTTTGTGAGTCTGGTTGCCTTTAAAAGTTATGAATTGAAATAGCTATGGTGAGCTAACGCCACCCAAAGTGTGATTAAACTAGCAGTGAAGGCAAGCTGGTAAGGATTGCGCTATACTTCAGAAGCTCTCTGACCAGTGCCTGGGCACGTTTGGCCTGTGGTCAGTCACGATGGTGTGACCGAGTTGATAGTCCAAGGCCAGCTACATCTGGTATCTCCAGTACCAAGAAGATAGCAGTCCCCCTGCTCAGTGACCTAGCCAGGGCACTGTCACTAAAATCCTTGATTTCTCTAGCAATCTGGATTATTTTCAAACTTGGATGTTTGAGGGATCTTTTTAAAATGCAGGTTCCAACTCAGAGGCCTGTTCTCTGCATCTCTAACAGGCAGTGAGTGTCCAAACCTTAGTTCAGGAGATGGTTCCAGGGTCTAGAGAGAGTGGGAAAGCTGCATGGTCACGTGGCAGGATTTAAGATCCGTGATCCAAGGGATCCAGAGAATAGAGGCACCATCGGTGCCTTCCACCACTCAAGGGAAAGGTGACGGTAGTGTGACAAGGCTGCTGTATGGGCAGAACACCAGCCAGGCCACAGAGTAGGATTCCCTTGCTCCCTCTGGAACCTTGAGAGGAGCCATGAGACTCAGTCCTTACAGGATCGTTTTGGTTTGAAGTCTTGGTGTACTGCTGCCCTGTTTATTTTTCTCTTTTTTCCCTTATCTCTTTCTCCTTTTTGTTTCTATTAACTCTAGACTCCACGTGGATTTCAGTGGGTTTTCTTCCTTCCTTCCTTCCTTCCTTTCTTTCTTTCTTTTTTCCTATAGGGCGCATGTACTCACCAGAAAGGCAGAGAAAGACAGAAAGCAAAAAATTACCCCCCGGGGAGATGGGCACACCACCATCCGTTCTCCTCCATCTCCTCTTGGGATCTTGGGCACGCATGCACATGCAACCAGCGTGAGTTTAAGCCACCCAGTCCAGGACTCGAACTGCGGTCAACTACATGGAAGTCCAGCGTCATAGCTGTTACACTAACTGCTGGTCCCGTGGGTTTTCTAATATCTTTTTTCCCTTCCAAGATCCAATCCAGGACACCATGTTGCATCTAGTTTTTATCTATTTTTAAAATGTTTTTGATACAGCTTTTATCCAATATTTTTAAATAATTCTAAACATTAAAATGGTATGAGGATAATAAGGGGTTATAAAAAGTTTATTTTTGTACTTATGCAACATGTAATCGCAGCTGCTCAGTACTGTAAATGATCTAACCAAAACTGAAATTATGAAATGTCTTGCCACAACCCTTTGTGAGGCTGCATGGAGCTGTAGTTCCAATGGCTGGAGCCTCTCAAAGATAAAATGATTGGTTTGATTTTCTACCCTTTACCTTGCTCTCACAGTAGATTTAAATAAAATTGTTAGCAACTGACACTTCTGTACTTAAAACCCCTCCAGTGCAATAGGGCAAACTTTAAGTCTGGGGGTGCTTTTCCCCCCTCCCTTTTTATGATGAAAAGTGTGTGTGTGCATGCTCACTAAGAGAGAGAGCACTCAGTAGGGCCTTGTTGCACCTCCGTCCCCTTTCCCCAGGCCTCTCCTCAGCTTCCTGGGCACCCCCACGTGCTCCTGGCTTGTTTCTCAGGCTGGCCCGGGATCTAAACAAACAGGGATCGTCCTGTGACTTCCAGCACTGCAGGGCACGACCATAACCGTGGCTGGGCTCTGGTTGCTTTGGAAGTCCTCTGCAATCTATGCAGTCTGTCCTAGCCTCATTTCCGGTTCCCGTGCCCCATGCACTCTGCTTAGACCCTCAGGCAATCTCTCACTCCTCTCCAGAGTGTCTACTGTTACATCTATATTTTCCTGACTTGGGCCAGGAAAATGGCAGCTGTTCCTTCGAGCTACAGCCCAGATATCACTGCTGTGAAAGTCATTGCTGGGGTACACCCCTCTCAGCTCTCATGGGCAAAGGTAGTCACCCCTTCTTTCTGCCCTGAGAGTCCATTAGTTGTGCGGCCTAACCGCGCAAGGTAAATGTCACAATTCCTGATCTGCTCAGGAGTCTGAGTTTAAGGGCAGGGGATTATGTCTTCTTCTTCTTTTTAACATGGACGTAGTCCAGAGAAAGCACTCGATGAATAATTTGTTGAATGAAAGATGGCGTGTTTGGAATTGCTATGAGCTGTAGATAAAAAATGTATTCACTTCCTGCCCACTTTTCATCTGCCACTCAGATCGTTTGCAAGTCTGCTGCGGCTTGGGGTCTGTCAGTCCTATATATTAGACCAGGGAAAAGGAGAAAAATGACCTGCCAGATGTATCTCATTGCTCCCATTACTCTGAATTACCTTGAAAAGGCATAAAAACTGTTCTTAAAAATCCTCTATCCTTAGAGCAGAAGGTATTTTTCAGGCCGAGAAAGATCTCACAAACATTTTGCAGCCGCCATCTGATAGCGTTCGCGCTGCCTTTCTGCGGGTGCGGGCCAACACCACAGTGGTGCTCTTCGCTTGTGCTAATGGCCTTCCCTTCTCTGCTCCAGGGATTTTGCCGGCACATAGCAGGCACAACAGTCCCTCCGGGCACCTGACCCACAGCCGCAGCAGCAGCAAAGGCAGCGTGGAGGAGGTCATGTCCCAGCCGAAGCAGAAGGAGCTGGTGGGCAGCGTGCGGCAGAAGATGCTTCTAGACTACAGCGTGTACATGGGCAGGTGTGTCCCCCAGGAAAACCGAAGCCCTCAGAGGAGCCCAGTGCAGAGTGCTGAGAGCAGCCCCACAGCTGGCAAGAAGGTGAGGCCGGCTGCCTGGGCTGTGGCTTTCCCGCTCTTTCTGCCTCTGCTCCTTTCTTTGGATCTGTCCCAGCGCTGGGAACACAGTGATGGACGGCACTGAGAAGGGCTCTGCCCTCAGGGAGCTTGTCGTTTACTCGGCGACAGCAAGAAACAAGCCTTGGGGGACGGTAGAATTCAAGCTGATAGGGAAGATGGACAGTGGCCAGAACTGCTGTGTCAAGTGGGTGGTCAGGGAGGACTTCTTTGAGGAGATGACTTTTGGGTAGAGACCTGAGGGCCATGAGGGAGTGAACCAGGGTCATACGTGTGGGAGGAATATTCCAGGTGGGATGACCAGTGAGTACAGAGTGCCTGCAGCAGGGATATGGTTGCACAGTGAGGCCAGCGTAACTGGACGGTGGGCAAAGGAAGGCGAGGGAAGCGGGGAGGTTGGAGGGACAGCAGGGCCTGGTGGATCAGCTCCGAGAGGCGTGGGAAGCCTGGAGGGTTTTGAGCAGGGGGTGCAGAGATAAGTGGTCCTCTGTGAACTGGCTGTGGGAGGGGAGTGGAGGGAAGGGGCTGAGGAGGGAGACTGAGAAGGAGGTGGCAGCACATCAAGGGGTGGCTGGGCAGGGCATGTGCTTTGGAGGCAGGGCTGGCCAGATATACCCATGGGCTTGATGTGCAGTGTGAGAACAAGAGGAGGCAGAGAAGGAGCCCAGGTTCAGAAATCACCCCCCAGGGGGGATGGTCACACCACAATCCCTTCTCCTCCATTCTCCTCTCGGGATCTTGGACACGCATGCACATGCGCCTGGCGTGAGTTTAAGCCACCGGGTCTGGGACACGAACTGTGGTCGACTATGTGGGAGTCCAGCGACATAGCCATTACGCTAACTGCTGGTCTCAGGGCACCCAGCTTTTGACCTGAGTGATTGGTAGGGAAGGTCATAGAATTGGTAGTAATTGAGGTCTAGGTCCTCGGTAACTGCTATGTGCTCAAATTCCCAGCATCCCCAAGTATGCCTAGTGCTTCTGAAGGTGACCAGGAGCCTAACTGACGTGGGCTTAAGACCATCTCCGAGGAGATAAATAGATGCTGCCGTCTGCCTCGCTGTTCGTCAGGCCCTGCAGTAGGATTACTCTGCA